TGGTGGTTGGTGGTTTTTTTTTTGAGGGCCATTGGAATACTGGTTTTAAAAAAAAATGGGGAGTCCTCCTTGAACATGACTGCCGTGAAGTCAGTGAGGAAGATCTGGAAAGCGGAGTTCATTCCCGAGTTCCGAGAACACTTTCTTCCTCCAGTACTCTTGAGTCTCTCCCAGTTTTAACATTTTCTTGATTTTTTTTTTTTTTTTTTTTTTTTTTTTTTTAAGAAGGAGGAGAAGAAAAAGAGGCCATGAGGAATAAAGCCTTTTGAGGCTTGCTTTTATATTTAAGTTCACAGCCTTGGAGTGATAAAGCTATTATTTTGGAAGAGAGTTTGGTTTTTTCTAATTCATAAGCCAAGCCTTCTCCCTGTGTTTTTATCTTCTCTTTTCTCTTTTGTTTAAACTTGAAGGAAGAAATTGTACTCTCCTACTCCACTTAACCTTCCCTCTGTTTTTCTTTTCTGCTGCTTGTTTCACATCTCCTTGCCCTCTTCTCTGTTCATTGTGATCTCCCTGTGTTTTGTTCTGTTGCAAAAGATGATTCTGCTGGGGACTGTTCTTTTTGTGTTGTAGTATTTTCCCCGTGGCGGTGGCGTTTGTGGTTTGGATCTATACAGACTTGTGCTGCTGCTGACACCTTTGGGAAATGTGCCGGTGGTATTGCAGGCAGGAGGGAGCAGTGTGGTGCAGGATTCTCTTGCGCAAGTTGCAAGTAAAAAATATGAGAGGGGATGGAAAAGGTGCGACGTTCCTATAATTGTTTCTTAGTTTCAGCCTTGGTTGTCAGTTTTATATTTTTCAACTCTGGCACTTTAAAAAGTTTGACCAACTTTGTTAGGCACTGGACTTGACAGAATAGAGATGAAAGGAAGAGGCTGAGCTCAAGGGAAGTTCTGTCTTTGGCTTTAACAGGCAGGATTTCAACCATCATGCATAGGGCTCACTGTCGCTTTATGTGGATCATTTAAAATAAATATCATGACAATGGAAAGGATGGGTTTTCCTTTTACAATGGAAGCCATTGAGGCAGAAGGTGTTACAAGTATGTCTTCCTCTGCGTTAACCTGTCTCACAATCTAAAAAATGCCAGTGTTGTGAGTAGCGACTGAAAGGCTGTGTTCTTGTTACATAGCCACTACACGTAGACAACAAGTTCCCAATCTCAGTATATTAAGCAATCAGTCCGATTTTGAAGAGCTTCTCACATCATTGTCCTATTACATATTGTGGGAAATTAGGCAAGAGGGACAATTCATGTAAACAAACCAAGTCAATTGATGAATTAATCTTTAGAAAAGTCAGTCTAAGCAACATCTGAATCATCACTAACTTAAAGTAGTGGACGCTAGTACTTCAACTTGGAGCAGAAGACGATTAGAATGGAAAAGAAACAAAGAGATCCTGTGACAAACATTTCTGAATGTCAGGGAATTTCTCTGCCAAAGGTTTCTGAGTAAACATTTACAGAAAAAAGGTTCTGTTTTCTGTGAACATACGCATCTCTTTCCGTGAGACAGCTTTTAAAATGCACGATGCATTGTTGCATGCTTGGGTCCTGCAGCAACAAATACCAAGATGTTTTATTGGAATACAGATTTAAACTTTTCCTTAGACATTACTTAATGAGAAAAGCTTCTCTTTTCCATTTGCTTGGCTGTCTGAATGATTAGGTCTTAAAATTGGTGACTGATTCCAGAATATTTTGTCAGCCTTATCTGCAGTCAGGAAATGGAAAGACATATTTATCTTATTAAATTCAACAGAATTAGGGATGGTGGGCCAAATTCAGCCTGGCAGAAGGACACTTTTGCTTCAGTGAATCTTCTGAGTGAGTTCTGTTAATTTATGGTAGGGCTTAACGTGGCTCAGTATGCAGCAAATGCAGTACACATTTTGGCTAACTTACCATCCTTGTTCCTGTTGAGCAGTACCCTATAGTACAGCTAACCCTATTCAGTTAAATGAACCTATTAACGAAGGAAAAAGCTGCTACTTGTATGGTAATATGTCAGTATCTCACTCTGATGGTAAGTCCATACTTGAATTATGCAAAGAATTAATAAATGCCATTTTGCACCAGTCGTGTATTTTGAACCTAGAGAAAAGTCATTGTGGGAGGTCCATCTCTGCCATTATAAAAAATTTCTTGTGAATAAAATCATTCTTAGCACTTTCACGGGGCTTTACAATAATTAACTAATGAATTCATTAAAATTCAGTGACAATCTTCCATTTCCTCCCATTAATATTAGACTAAGAAGACACAGTGGCTGACTGCATTCAAATAATTATTTTTCCACTTCACTGTCTGAGCCTTTGACATTTTAAAGTGATTTTAACATTAAATTGTAAGAAAGAGGAGAAAGGCTATTGGTAAATGTTTATTAAAGGAGGAATGAACCTGAAAAATATGTGACCAGGTTTTAATGTCTAGATACATGCCAGGAGAAAAATTCTTAGATTATCAGTTCCCTGCTGTAGAATTTGCTCTCCACAATAGTTGCTGGTTGCTATTTTTTATTACAGAAATACTTAAAAACTTAAGTTGATCTCTATATAATTGCTTGGTAGGGAGTAATTGGTGACCTAAAAAGTCAAAGAGTAGACAGAAGCAGAGACAGAATAGTGAAGTACTTTCTACAAGGTCACATGCAGGTAAAGAGCAACGTTAAGGAGAGATGCAGGTTTTGATTCACACTCCAGCATGGCATAGTGGTTAGGGCACTGCACTTCTTCTCTGTCATGTTACATGCGTATAAAGAAAACAGATTATCCAAGTCAGAGTAACATCCTATATGCAGGACAGATAGCTTTTGCAGCTGATGAAGAACTGAAGGCCATTCTTAAAAATAATAACGAAGTGAATTAAGAGTGAGACTTAATTGTGCAAATCACTTCTAAAAATTAGGAACTGAAGTGTTATGATATTCACCTCCAGGACATCTAGGTGACTTTTCAAAACTGCATATCGGGTTTCTGAATTATTTATCTTGAAGGTAAATTAGTTTCCTTAGATCTTTTTCTCTATATATAGAAATATTATCTTAGCAAGGTCTGTCAAATTATATCTGTT